TCAGTGAGGGTGGGTGTGTGTCAGTCAGTCGGTCAGTGAGGGTGGGTGTGTGTGTGTGTGTCAGTCAGTCGGTGAGGGTGTGTTTCATTCTGTCAGTGAGGGTGTGTGTGTGTCAGAGGGTGTGTGTGTGTCAGAGGGTGTGTGTGTGTCAGAGGGTGTGTGTGTGTCAGAGAGTGTGTGTGTGTGTGTGTGTCAGAGAGTGTGTGTGTGTGTGTGTCAGAGAGTGTGAGAGTGTGTGTGTGTGTGTGTCAGAGAGCGCGTCTGTCTGTGTGTGTCAGAGAGCGCGTCTGTCTGTGTGTGTCAGAGAGCGCGTGTGTGTGTGTCAGAGAGCGCGTCTGTGTGTGTGTCAGAGAGTGTGTCTGTGTGTGTCAGAGAGCGCGTCTGTCTGTCAGTGATGTGTGTGTGTGTGTGTCAGACAGGTGATTAATAAAATCATACATTAATATACATGTAGAATTAAATGTTATATATATTAATATCAAAATGCACTTGGAATTAAATTATTTATAGTTGGGGGATCTGCCTGACAACCCAGGCAATGTTGCAATTCTGCCAATCCGAGTCATGTGATCCCTTTGTCATCGCAATCACATGATGCGGCTGGGCAGAATTTTCTGTCTGATCTGGCTGGCTGTCAGGAGGGCCTGTTCGTTATGGCGCTCTTACAGCGTTAATGCCCTCCTTTTGTAGGACGACATAGCACTCCCTAACGTCATAAAGGTCAAGTCCCAGATTGACAAAACTTGTGAAAAGGCAGAGCATCCGGCATCAGGTTTTAATTCCTACAGCTGTCGCTGGCGACAATGGTGGGAATAGTAGATCTCTCGGATTGTGAGAGTTGGTCTATAAAGATGCGCAGTGACACTGCTCCTAACTGATGGAGTTGAGAAATGAAAATGGTGGTGCTCACAAGGTACAGCTTTAGGTAAGTATATCTTCCTTCAACAGCATCCACAGGCTGCTGCAAAACAAGCAAGTATGTCACCATTCAGTCTTTGCAAAGTATGCGAGTACAGAGCCGCTTTTAATGAGCATGAACTTGGGTCCAGAAAATATCGCTTTACTTAGGGCATCTCCTTCTATTTTGATTTAATTTATTTGATATCTTTCTCCTCTCCAGCGCCCCCATTACCCAGCACTGCGTTCGGTGATGGAACAAGTTCCTGAGATCCAGAAACAGTCCTTGGATCAGTTTGACTCAAAACTTCTCTTTCCAAAGCAAAAAATGGCCGACAAGAGGAGGAAAGACCACTTCAAGAGGCTAATCACTGGCTGTATAGGGGTAAGAAAGGGTGGAGGTACCTTCCACAAAAAATAATAAATAGGTATATCGGGGCCTAATTTACACTACACATTGAAGATTAAAAATATCGTCCTGGTGACTACCCTGGTTAGTGTGCCATGGATTCTCCAGGCTTGGAGTGGCCAGTAACTTCTAGGCCTTACTTTAAATGTTAACTGCTGCTTTCACTTTTAAATGAATATCCAGGCTAGAGTTAAAGGGGTCCTCTAAGCAACATCATAATACACAAGGAAGTTAAGTTTAAGTGCAGTTTGACAGAAGTGTAGGCTCTCTGTGGCACCAGGATATCACCGCCTCCTCCTAAGCTGCATTAATATTATATTTGTCAATTCCCTTTGTCCTGGGTGCACAGCTTTCTCAGCCTCTCTGCCGTCCAAGTTGGCCAAAATGTTAAGACTGCAGACTGCTTTTAAATGGTTTCTTATAAAATGGGGATGTCGCTCAGAAATCACCAAACTGCAATTACATGCCAAGCTGTAATGATACAATAAGCTGTAGTTATATTTCTGTTTAACACACCTGTTTTAATGTGAAAAAATACACATTAAATCTGTTAATAGTTACGTGTGGGGACAGGGGACCTCCTTACACCATAATCTTATAGCAAGCCAATGGTCATTATATGTTCCAAAACTGAAATCTCAAACTGCACGATTAATCAGAATATAACACAAAATTACCATCTAATATTTATTTTATTGCTTTTAGAAACCTTTAGGAGAACAGTTTCGAAAAGAAATTCATATCCGCAACTTACCTGCCCTGTTTCAGAAAAAATCCAAAACCCAGCTTGATGTGGATCCAATTCTAGAAAACTGTGATGACTCCCTTCCTGCATTATTTAAGCCTTGACTATGTCCAAACTTGGAAACCTTCCTCTGTCACTACAGGAGTGAGAGAGATCTGCCTCTTCTTCCTCCCCCTATGGGGGGATGGGTGAAACATTGCACAGTCAATGCACCCTGAAAGAGTGGTTATTTTATTTATGCCAGCACCTGTGCTGAAACATCATCAATATCCATCTTCTACCAACACTAATTGCATTCCGGCCCAGGCAGCGCAACAGTATCGGAGGCACTTCCTGGAATCAAGTGGTAGCCATTTTGATACTACAGACATCCACCTCTCACCATGTTACACCAGCCACGGCCCCCCCCCTTTACTGCATCACACCACAAACCTCTCCTATAATGCTTATAGACTGGCTGTCTCACTTTTATATTTAAGGTCACCAAGGATCTCTTTTGACTGTATCAAATAAGTGACAGACCATTCCACTTCACTGTACCAAACCAGCCATGGCTTGTACTGTCTGATCCTGCGTGTATGAACCACTGCCAGGAGTAGATTGGACAGAGGCCCTAGTTTTATTGCAGCTGGAGCTTGTCATGTGAAATATGATTAATGGTCCTTTGTCTCTACTGAACTTGTCTGTCGTTTGGTGGTTATAGTATTCATGGAGCTGACCCAATGAACAGAGAAGCAGCTGCTGCCATCACCACCACCGCCACGTTATTTGAAGAGACTTATTCAATAAGTGAATGGGGTCAGGTTTTCTGGCTTTATACTGCTTCCAACATGTGAGCTGTAATTTGTGTTAGACGAAATCGATCCACATTTGGACAGTTTCCTTCCCTGAGGATTAATATGGTAGGGGATATTATCTATCACATTCCATGCCTGGCAGGTGCCCTGCTAATATTTGTGTCCCAGGTCTTTGACTAAGCTAGTATTTTTACGGGAGGGTAGGATATCCCTGACCCTTTCTGTAATTGGACATCAGTAAACATGTTTGGTAAGAAATCTATTCCATCTATGTTTTCAGTGGAGTGCTTTTACTGGTCCTGTCACACCATGTAACAAGTCCCAGCTGTCACCGGTTCTGCCACACCCTGGTAGATCTTGCACTGGCTGGGCAAGAGGACCTGGACTAACGCATTGTCTGAGTGTATGTGATGATATGGATATAGTCCGGATCGATCAGACAAGTGAGCGTGTATCCAATAGAGAATATGGGGCAGGATTTGGTCATCGGGGCTAATATCAATGTTTATAATATTAGATATGGCAAAGGGTTGTGGGGGGACTAGTAGTTATAGTTATGGTCTTCATGGTGACTACTACCTTCTCTAATACCAAAAGTTAAAAAGGTGTGCTCTCTGATATTCGATAGCGGGGGCAGGGCTAAACTATTGTTACTAAGGGAGTCTTAGTATTGGTCCGGAAACTCCCTTCTTCATTAACATTGGAGATGGGGAGTATTCAAGGCCAATAATAACATTCTCAACAATTTGTAGAACTAACCTGCCATGTGTCGATATATCATTTATTGAATGAGTGACCTAATTTCACCAGTTATGTGAACAACTTCCGTGCTTCGCTGGGAGCAGATTACTGTTCTGCACCTCTGGCAGGAGACAAAGGGGCCTTAAGCTAAACCTGAGCGAAAGGTAAGTAAAATAGATGTAATTGTCTCCCCTTACGGGAGAGAATTCACCTCTCCAGAGCGACTGACTGTAACAATTAAAACACTGGAGCACCCAGAGAAAAAGGGCATCCAGATTGCAGACATGAACACAAATAATGTCTAAATTGATCCCTATAGAGGATCAATGTGTCGTGTTGGGGAGCTTGCAAGGGCATTGGAAAATAACTCATTCCAAAGAACCCCTACTAAAAGAGGAAAATGGAAATGAGCAAGTCCCTAAAAAAAGATGAGGAAAGTTTTTATTAAAAATTGGACAAAACATTTATTGAAATCAGAAGTATTCAAGGACTCAAATAATCAGTAAAAAAAATATTAATAAACCCATCACCTGACAGTAGAAAATATATACATATGGAGTCTCTTAATTAGATCTCAGTCTATGGAGAGAATATTGGGAGGACATATGTTTATAATCCCACAAAGAAAATATAAACCGCAATTGATCCTTGGATAAATACCAAAGGGGACTGCTACAAATAAAATGCTACAAAATATAGGTCTGTCTTAATATAATGATCGTGTCTCTGTACACCAACAGTAGTAGTGATTAGGTAGAATACATTTGACTACATAAAACCAGGAGATTTAGGGGAAAGGGTAAAACAAACCAGAAAAACATCACAACTAACTAATGAAAAAAGAACATTTATTTTGTAAAGGATAACGTATGCCTATAAGGATGTATCTGAGAGGGCTATCGTGACTTTACCACCTTTTCACCTTCCATTTCTTAAGGCTCTCCTATCAATGGTTAAAAAGAGTCAAAAGGTAGCTTTGCAATCACACATCCCAAAAATCGGATTATAGCTAGAGACTCCTACAAACAGATAACCACTCACATACCGGAAACAATTACAAAAAACAACTAAGCTACCAGACACACATTTCGGCACCTGTGTGCACCTTTGTCTGGGGTTCCAGATTGGCAGATATGATTCATGACCTCTCATGGCTCATGTGTCGCCCAACATTTTCATTCCTAGTGAATCATCTACCCTTATCTGAATATATGAATAAGATACCAGAATGTTATCGATTTGGCAGAATAACTATGGCATTGCAGATATCACAAGGGTGCATGGTGGAGCGTATACCGGAAGGTAATTAATTTGCAGATTTTTTACATAGTGTACATCATAACAACCATTAAATATACGCACTATTCCACCGTGTTTACCATATTTAATGAACCAATATCATCCTTTTATCTAAATGCATCGGTGGAAAACTACAATGGTAGAAACTATTTGTATCCATCACCTTTCATGTGTCGCCCACCATCTTTATTCATAGTAAATCATCTGCCCTTATCTGACTGTATCTGTAAGATATCATGCTGCCATTAGTGTCCATGGAATTAGATATCCAAAGGGTGCAAAGTAGACTATGTACCAAAAGGTAATTAGCTTGTAGCACTTCACATAACCTCCACTAAACTGCTATACGCGAACAACGACTAAAAAGCACTACATCACCTATACAGGGGTTCATCATTAAATACAAAGTGGAGGAAAAATAGGGATACCAAAATAAATGTAAAATTGGAGCAGTTGAAACTAATTTCAAGGTAAAAGAAAAAATTCTCAAATGGTTAAAGTTTCTACGAATCCACAGGGATACGGATACGAATGTACACAACCAGGTAAGTGACCAGTGGAATCACTGTGGAGTGTCGCATAGGATAATAAAAAAACTAACCATCCAGGTATATCCATAGCTATAGTATAAGTGATAATAAAAAGTCCAGTAAGTGAGACAACTCATAACTATAACATTTAACACAGAAAATGTATTATTTAAACACTGATAACCCCTAGTAGATTTATTAGTGAATTATAATGTGTCATATGGCTTTATGTACATAGATAATGGATGACTCAATGTTGTTGGGGGTCAGAATAGTATGCTGTGAATTCAACAACAAACAAAATATGGGGGTCTTTAACCCCTTAAGGACCAAACTTCTGGAATAAAAGGGAATCATGACATGTCATGTGTCCTTAAGGGGTTAAAGGATCACTATAGGGTCAGGAACACAAACATGTATTCCTGACCCTATAGTGTTAAAACCACCATCTAGCCCCTCATGCATCCATGCCTCCATAAATATAGCAACATCTTACTGTATTCAAGCCTGAAACTGTAACTCTGCGTACTGTTTGCCTCAAAAAAACCAGCAGTCTGATGACATCAGAAGTGGTAGCCTGATCCAATCACAATGCTTCCTGAGACTGACAAAGAAGCAGATCAGGGGCAGAACCAGTGGCGTCACTATGGGGGGGGCCATGGCTCCCCTATATCATGCTGGGCCCCCCCAAATGCCAGCAACTTGCTGGCCATGTTCTTCCATTCTATTCCCTCGCACTGTGACAGCCCGAGGGAATGCAGTGCTGGGGGCTGTCTGTGGCCGGAAGGAGCACTGACAGGCTCCCCGGCACAGGCCCCGCCCCCAAACCAAGCCCCACCTCTCACACAAGCACCACCCCTGCTGGAAGGGATGGAAGCCCAGCAACAGCCTCCAGTGACAGACAGGCTTGATATGCTCAGGTGACTGTCTGTCTCTCTGCCTGCTAGTGAGGAAGCTTGTGTGTATGGACTCAGCAGTCTGTGTGTATGGATTCCGCAGTCTGTGTGTGTGTGTGTGTGTGGACTCAGCAGTCTGTGTCTGTGTGTATAGGCTCAGCAGTGTGTGTGTGTATGGACTCAGCAGTCTGTGTGTGTGGACTCAGCAGTCTGTGTCTGTGTGTATGGACTCAGCTGTGTGTGTGTGTATGGACTCAGCAGTCTGTCTGTGTGTGTGGACTCAGCAGTCTGTCTGTGTGTGTGGACTCAGCAGTCTGTCTGTGTGTGTGGACTCAGCAGTCTGTGTGTCTGTGTATGGACTCAGCAGTCTGTGTCTGTGTGTATGGACTCAGCTGTGTCTGTGTGTATGGACTCAGCTGTGTGTGTGTGTGTGGACTCGGCAGTCTGTGGGTCTGTGTGTATGGACTCAGCAGTCTGTGGGTCTGTGTGTATGGACTCAGTAGTCTGTGTGTGTCTGTCTCAGCAGTCTCTGTGTGTATGGACTCAGCAGTCTGTGTGTGTGTGTATGGATACAGTGCCAACTATGGCACTATATCAAGGGAAATGTGTTTGGTTTTTAATAATAATGAATTCTCCACAAGGGATTATTTAAAAAAAAAAAAAAAAACACATTGTGTAGCGGGTGGGGCTTAACATGCGGTAGGGGTGGGGTCAAACTGCGGCAAGGGCGGGGTTAAATGTGCCCCTACTCACCAGAACAAATTCAATAAGCTGTAGTTGTTCTGGTGACTATAGTGTCCCTTTAAATAAAGGCTGAAAATGTAAAATCCTCATTGAGCCCACCTGGGGCAAGGGTCTGTAACTTATGGGTCCAATAACTCTCACTTTGTCTCCGTTTCAAGTCTAGTTTACCACCTCGTTGACCTAGTGTAACATGTTCTATGCCAACAAAAGTGAAGTTCCCAGGAGGAAATGTTAATGGTAGTCCTGTAGGTGCCTTGCTACTGGTGTGTCTCTTTGTGAGGAGACCTGGTGAATGTGTTCCATTATCCGTCTAAAAGTTTTCCTACATAATGTAAACCACAAGAACACCCTGAGGTAAACCCCCACAGTAGTATTGCTGTTAAAAAAACAAAACAATAAAAACTGTTGCACTGCATGGTTGACAGAGCCATCTCTACTCTTAATTTTGGAATCTTTGGAAATGTATATGCACGCTACACATTTCCTGCATCTATATGTACCTTTAACCCCTTAAGGACCAAACTTCTGGAATAAAAGGGAATCATGACATGTCACATATGTCATGTGTCCTTAAAGGGTTAAATGAAAGCCAAGTTCTGCTAGGTCTATCTCTCATCAAATGGCTAGGGACCAAAAAGGGCTTGAAATTCTTCCCTCTCGTGGCTGTTAAAGATACATGGGGGTAACTACCTCACAAAGGTGTTCATCTTGTGAGATAAGGGGCCAAAACCTGTTTATTATTCCTAAGATTACAGCTTTGAAATCCACTAGACATTCCTTAACGCGGAACTTCTCACAGCATCTCACAGCATCACACAGCACAGCTTACAGCCATAACCTTTACTGTCAGTTAGAATTACACGGTTATCTCACTCACTGCTGGCTACAATTCTCACAGGAAAAACACCTTTAAAGGACCACTATAGTGCCAGGAAAACATACTCGTTTTCCTGGCACTATAGTGCCCTGAGGGTGCCCCCACCCTCAGGGTCCCCCTCCCGCCCGGCTCTGGAAGGGGGAAAGGGGTAAAAACTTACCTTTTTCCAGTGCTGGGCGGAGAGCTCTCTGCCTCCTCTCCTCCTCCGTTACGCCCCGCCGGCTGAATGCGCACGCGCGGCAAGAGCTGCGCGCGCATTCAGCCGGTCTCATAGGAAAGCATTTACAATGCTTTCCTATGGACGCTGGCGTGCTCTCACTGTGATTTTCACAGTGAGAAGCACGCAAGCGCTTCTAGTGGCTGTCAATGAGACAGCTACTAGAGGATTAGGGGGAAGGCTTAACCCATTCATAATTATAGCAGTTTCTCTGAAACTGCTATAATTATGAAAAAATGGGTTAACCCTAGAAGGACCTGGCACCCAGACCACTTCATTAAGCTGAAGTGGTCTGGGTGCCTAGAGTGGTCCTTTAATATTGCAATTAACAATACAATATTTCAGTTGAAATATTCCTTCCATCCAGTAACTAAAAGAATAAGGCACCCAATAAAATTTTAACATTACAGATGATTAACTTAACATATTAAAGATTTGTAGCAGAGCTCCAATACCTAGCATAGGTATCTCCGCTATTCCTTCCTCGAAGCTGAAAAAAGCTGTATAATAATCCAAGACACTTTCCCCCCAGCAACTAGACGACACAGTTCTGTGAGTGAATGGCTTTTATGCATTTACCCTGACATGGGGTCTCCCATACAATAATACAGGGCTTTTCTTCCCAGGATCCTCTTTGCCTGAGAGATTATTGTGCGAGAAAAAGCTAAAACTCCATTATCTCTCAGGTACAGAAAAATCTACAATATTTTAAAACACGCCAAAAATACATTTTAATAACTTCAGAACCCCACAAAATGTTCACCAATTGTTTGAACACGTGCGTTCGGTTATATGAACGGTGGCCACACAGGGAAAACACTTGCACAAATAACCAATTTGTGTTCAACAGCCAGGGGTGGTTGGTAATTAAAAGGTGCAAACAAGGGGAACACAGAGTTGGTTCGGTAAACGAACGAGGGTGTATGGACAGCTGAACAAAAGGGAATAAAAGTGTAGCTAGAGCATCCATTCCGCTACAAAATTAACTATCCCTAAATATAGATAAGTTAATATCTGTGGATAATAACTTGGTAAGCTATACTAGGCAAATTACCAGTAAATATATTGTTCATTTTTTCCACCTGCAGTAATGGAATTTGGAACCCTATATTTCCTCAGCTAATTTATGATTTCAAAATTTTGAATTCAGATCAAATTTTATCCAGATATATTTCTGCTTTTAGTATAAATGTATTACTTTAAATTAAATAAAATTTACCAGCTTTTTTGGTAGAAATTCTTTGGAGAAATATTCCATGTATGGTGTATGCAGTATGAGTAGAGGATTGTGAAAAAATAAAGTTATCAAGAGTTCTGAGTATTCCAGATTCAGTTGGAAAAAGAATATTTGAGTTACAGAATTAGTTGGAAGAGATACAGAGTTATATGTGTCCAGCTTTTGGTTAATGATCAAAAACCAAATACTTTTTTGTCTCCTCCTTGCTTCTTGCTCCAGATCTCAATTTTTAAAGGAAAGGCTTCCCTAAACTTTCTTTACGTCACCAATTTAAAGTGGCAAATGAAATCAAGTGGGTGTATTTTTATTATCGAGTGTCTTATAGACTTCGGTCAATAGATGGCCTTGTAACACCACAAGAAATTCCCATCAGGAAGTCCAACTACCACGTTGTATAAGGGGTTAATTGAATTTCGTGATGCATTTGGCATCATTATTCTTATCTCTAATGGGTACCAGTCATCAGAGATTTGTCAGTCTTCAAATGATTTTTGGTCCTTTTTAGCAGATAGTCTCCATTTTGGGCCATAAAGTATCTCTTGACACCTCTTGAACCCTTTTTCACCTTCTCTTATAATGTATCCTTGTAGCAATCCATTACATTTTAAAAGGTAAAATTAATTACTTTTAATATCTCTTTCTGGGTTTTTTTTTTTTTTGTTACACTGTCTCATTGTGTGAAACTAAATGTAGTACTTAGTAATGTGACAGCATGTGATATATATACATGTTCTTTTACACACATACAGCTAATATTAGTTTAATAATAATGAATTTTCTTCATGTGGACAATCATGAATATTCAATATTATTAACATATGAACTATTTATATATGTTTAAACATAATTTTATTAAAGGACACGGAGGCTCTTATTAGGCTTGGGGTCTAAATGATTGGTCCAATGCTCTATATGTCTAATTGGCAACGCAAATGCCGCATTGGCTACTGAGCAGCGAAAGGCGAAAAATGTCTGGGCCACAGACAAAAGGCTTCCTTTTCGGAGATAACTTAGTGAAGGAGTTGGACAAGGCACAAACAAGCATGAAGAGAGTGTTCTCTCCCAAAATTTTTGGTGGGGCCGGCAGAATTCGGGGTAGTCTGTCCGGCCGTTCCTACCGGGGATACCGAGGGCCCGCCAAGCCTAGCTCCCAGCCTCCAGAGAACAAGTCCCCTTCGCCCTTCTTCAGGGGCAGATCAGGTTCCGCCATCTTCGCCCGGTTTTGTAAGCAACCTCTTCCTGGTGCCCAAGAAAGACGGTGGGGTACGTCATCAACCTGCGCCCCTAAACGCATTCGTCCGGTACCATTTCAAAATGGAGGGAATCCACTGCCTTTGGGACCTCCTCAGATTGGGGGACTGGATGGTCAAACTAGACCAACAGAATGCCTATCTCACTATCCCCATTGCCGAAGACTGTCACCACCTTCTCCAGTTCCAATGGGACGAGACGAGGTGGCGATTCCAGTGTCTCACCTTTGGGCTATCATCGGCTCCATGGTGCTTCATCAAGCTGCTGAAACCTGTGGTCACTCTCCTACGCAGCAGGGGTGTTCGGATGATCATATACCTGGACGATATGCTGATCATAGCAAACGATGTCCACCAGCTTCGTCAACACCTCTCTTGGGCACTGTCCCTCCTACAAAACTTAGGATTTTTAATCAATTGGAAAAAGTCAGAACTAACCCGGTCTTAAACCATGGAGTTTCTGGGATTTAACATAGACGCGACAAACTGGACACTCTGCCCACGAAGGTCAAACTCCTCAAGAAGGAGATCCGCAGGACTCTAGCCAGGATACGGCAGCTAGCCAGGATAATCGGCCTCCTTTCCGGCTCCATCCAGGCGATTTTCCCGGGACACCTTCACTACAGGGCCCTACAACGGCTGAAAGCCACACATCTACGTTTAGGTCACTCATACTCCGACTCCGTTCCACTCGATTATGCAGCCAAACAGGAACTCGCCTGGTGGCTGCACCACATGGAAGCGTGGAATGGCAGAGCGATCTTCGGAACTGCCCCGGATTCCATTATAGAGTCCGATGCGAGTACGCCTGGTTGGGGAGCACGCTGTGGTCCTATCTCCACAGGAGGAATATGGTCCTACTCAGAAAAAGAACTGCACATCAACGGCCTGGAACTCATGGCAGGGTTGTTTGCCCTAAAGAGCCTCCCCGGGGCCACGACCAACTGCTCTATTGTTCTGCGAATGGAATATATCTGCAGTCCGCTACATCAACCACCTCCTCGCACGAAATCCAGGATCCTGACTGACCTGGCCAAGGAGTTTTGGCAATACTGCATGGATCGCAATACATCAGTCCAAGCAGAATACATTCCCGGCCTGTCCAATATAGTGGCAGACTGGAACTCCAGACATCTACGAGACAGCAGCGATTGAACCGCGAAACCTTCCTACGACCTCAAACGCTATGGGGCCCGATGTACATCGACCTTTTTTCCGTCTCGTTTGAACTCCCAACTACCAAAGTTCTTAATTTGGAGGCCGGACCCAGACGCCCTAGCAGCAGATGCCTTCCTTCAACAATGGCCGAAAAGTCGATTGTATGCATTTCCTCCTTTCTCCCTCATGGCTCGGACATTAGTACACCTCAGGCACTCTCAAACGTCTTTGGTCCTTATAACTCCATTCTGGACTGCTCAACCTTGGTTTTCTTCACTCATGGAGATGTCCATTGATCTTCCAAGACTACTACCCGATGCTTCACACCTTTTACTGGATCCCGAGGGGAATCCACGCCCCATTCTGATTCAGGGACACCTCAGACTCTTAGCGTGGCTCCTTTCTGGGGACCCTGGGTCGTACCAGATGTTTCACAAGAAACTCTCGACCTACTGGCAGGAGCATGGGACCCTGGAACAAGACGATCCTACAGCTATGCCTGGAACGGATGGAGTGATTGGTGCATGGAACAACATGTTCCTTATGTGCTCCTTTGAATTACCTGTTACATTTCCTTACCAATCTGTATAACCAGGGATTGGCTTACCGCACCATTAATGTCTATAGATCGGCGATCTCTGCTGGCCATCGCGGACTAGATGGGGCTCCGGCTGGTAAACAGCTGTTGGTGTGTCGACTCCTATGGGGTATTAAATTTGCTTGACCACCTCATCCTAGATACACGTCGTTCTGGGATGTGAATCTGGTCCTCAACTTATTGGAAACTTGGCCACGGAATGAGGGACTCGTGCTTAAACAGCTGTCAGCAAAATTGGCCATGCTTCTCTGTCTGATATCTTGCAAACGGGTTTCAGATGTTCGAGCACTAGACATTGACGCACGCTCCTTTATCCCTACACGAGTTTCCTTCAACATTTCCAGACGTACAAAGTCATCGATTACTTTGGTTTCCTATCCTTCGTTTCACCATAATATTAAACTCTGCCCAGTGGTTTGTCTACAGAAATATAAAAAACGGACTTTGGGATTCAAGAGTTCAATATATCAGTTGTTTTTGGCTACCAAAATGCCTCATCATCCTGTATCTACAGTGATGCTAGTCCTCTGGGTGAAATGGATAATGGCTTTGGCCCACATAGATACATCTGTGTTTGGCGCACACTTTACTAGAGGAGCCATGGCTTCAAAGGTTTTCAATTTGGGCTGTAATTTAGAAGATCTTCTTAGAACGGCAGTTTGGTCCCGTGAATCTACCATTAAGGAATATTACTTTCGACCTACAGAACACGTCTCATCTATGGTTATTTCACAGCTTTGAACTAGCCTAATAAGCCTTTAATAAACTGACCAGATTTTACTAATTACATGATTTTATTAAGGACACGGAGGCGAGTATTAGCCCACCCAGTACAGGTACATTTTGAGTTTTTGTGTCCCAACCCAGGTACGTGATAAGTATTGATTGTAAATGGATGAATTATTGTCTCTGTTTGCTCTTATGGTCCTAGGAGTTAGTTACCTACTATATGCTTTGTTTAAATGTAACTGATTATATGGTTTTATGGCATTCAATATTGTGGTAATTGTGGGAACATATTTTACCATTTGTTCTCTCTGTTCTTTCTGGCCTGAAATGTTATGACGCTTCCCGGCAAGACGGACATCTTCCACAGTTCAACTGATCTGTTCCCTCAGAAGGAATCCATCGCCAAGACTTCAGCTGTCCGCCTGTTTGTGTTTGATTAAGTTAATTTGTTGTGGTTTGTTGTCATCGATTATAAGCTTTGGCATCAACAGGAAAGAGGAATCGATGGGGGTCACATGGGAGTATTTGCTATGTGGTCTGTTCCCATAGGCTAGGATATCGTGATGTAATGATTAACTCCTGAGGGT